TACAGCGTATTGACTATTATTAGTATTAGTAGTCATCTTTTAATTTTCATAAATCTTTATAAGCGATTAAACTGTAAAAAAAAAAGGTATATCCCTCATATATATTGCAATTAATCCATTTTAATTTATTCACTTCATAAGATATTCGAAAGATTATTCCATCCAAGTAAAAGTAATAGAATTAAAAATGAAAATCGGTAGGTAGCTAAGTTTTAATAATGATTCTTTTTCATCTTTATAATCTCTTCAATACCTACTCTGCCCACCCGAAGAAAGTTTTTTTGAAAATAAAAATCACATCATCCCTTGTAGATTGCCGGATGGTAATGCACTAATTATGTAAATAACATTCATAATAACAAACGTATAATAAAACACAATCATCAATATAATGTAAGATACAAATAATGTAAGATACTATTATTATCAACATGATAATTGCTAAAATGTCACTAAGTTCAACAGTAGTATTCAGAGTTTGTTTAAAGGTCATTAGAAAATATTTAAGGCACTGGAATAACGTTTAAATTAATATTAAAAATAATCTTATCAAACATTTGTTATGGTGTTTCGTTATTTGTGTACGAAATAAGTTTTAATAAAAACACAGAATATGAAATAAAAAACAAGACCACTTGAAAGTCGTACATATAGCTATTGCCATTGATTTTGTACTCGTCAATACATTATTTATACAAGAGGATAATTGAAGTCTTGAGAACTTATACAAAGAAAACACAAAACGTATTAAGAAGTAAGTTTTTTACGCTAACTACGCTAACTGATGTAATTAATTAGTTCAACCGTGAACATTTGCTGTCTGTATACATTGTGTAGAATAATATTTTGGTTTGTTTGTATTTTGGAAAGTTGAATTTTGCCATCGATTGGTTTATACAGTCTAAAACGTTTATGAGTGTTCATGCAGAGGACCGTATAGTTTAAATGTTTAACTAACTCTGACCTTAGACGGCGTGTACGCAGCACTTATCCTAATTTACCAATACATACATTTTTATTTGTTCCCTTTGTTTCGTTTTTGTGACCGCATTAACATTAGCGTGAACGCGGGCACCTCCTAATCGAATATCAACTGGTATGTACGTAGCACTTGTTTTTTTTTATAAACGATGACTTTGTACGGGTTTGAAAAATAAAAATATTATATACTCAAAAAGAAAATAGACGGTAGGCGCCGGCGGCTGGTAATAACAATTATATCGGGAAACGGTTTTCTTTGGCAAAGTCTATTTACATAATATAATTTTACCGCGGCAGCTTTGAGATTATACGCAGAAGCTCTCTTCACAACCGGTCGAAATTCCATTAGTATTAAATAAGTATGTAAATTGAGTTTTCGTCATCGGGTCAGTATTTTTTATATCCGATTTTTTTCTACCTTATACTTTATTATTTAAGGACGCTCTACCCACTTTTACCGCTAGTCCTGTGCCATATATATATATATATATATGTACTATACTTACTACTACTACTAATATTACAATAATACGTGCGCTCACTGCTCGGGGTCACGTGATTTATTTACGACCGCGCTCCGCTACCATGGGCCGGTGTTCGGACGAAGTAGGTAAGCGCGTGGCGACTTTGATTCGTGTCGTTTGTATGTTATTATATTGTTGTGCGAATGTTTTTTTGTTCTGTTCGTAATTCGAAATGAAAAGCAAAACCCGAAAGCCATGGCCGCGAGTTAGATTTGTTGCGGTTTTAACGGAAAAAGCTACACGAATTATACAATCATAAATGTATACATATATATTATACAATATTACGAAAAAGGCCACTTTTTTCCTAGGTAGGTGTATCACATCCACTTTCCATTTATTGAGCTAAATCTCGAGCAATCCCAGACGGGACCCCGGCAGCGAAACACATCCTGTTTGGTGACAACCACGCACAAGATTTTCCATTAAAACACATACATGTGTATATTGTACAACACACGTGCGTATATGTATCCAAATGTAAAGATTTCTTTTCCCAAGCCCGTTTTCCGTATAAATTTAGCCCAGAGCTTTGAAGAAATAAAATATAATAACGTACACCTAATATTACACACAAAACAAAATAGGAAAAAATTCCGTTAACAATATTCATCCAACCATAAAACCTTTTCTGAACGCATATAAGTGTTTTCTATACAAATTACAGCTGCAGCTTCTCAAATGGTGAAACGTAGTATATTATTTTATTTTGTCCAATACGCTATTTTAAAAACTAATTTTCGGTACATCATTTTTCTCACTACAATTATGTCGCATAATCGAAAAAACATTATTTAACTTTTGGACAAATGTTAAAGTTATATTTAAGATGTACAAGACACACGACTCGGTCGTTTTTTACTAACCAATACCAATTTATTTATAGGTGTTCTACTGAGGTTCTCCAAATTATCGTTAGCATATTATAAAGGATCAATGTTTTAGTACATTATTCGCTATCATAAACAGTGTAATACTTGTCGATAACAACTTTTTATTTTTTATTAAATAAACAAAGTTTTAAAGAAATTTTTAGCAAGTAATTCTTGTTGATTATTTCAACTCAAATAATTAATTACACGAATCTAAAAACTACGGCATGGACTTAGAATGATTGATACATTTGTTTTGTAAGTTTCCAAACTTTGATAAAAGTCGCTGCTGACTTTTAGATAGCTTTTTAGTTTATTCTTTTCTCCGAAAGAACTCGTTGTTTTCCAAATTGAAATTGCATTTAGTAATTTGCATACTCAATATATATTTTAGTACCTCGAAAGTAGGTGAGTTGAGTTCAAGTACGTAACTGCAAACACAAAAAAAATAACACAAGACAAAGCAGTATCCTAATATGAAATTGATTGTTTAAAAGTTTTAGCCAATTTCTGATACATCTTACATCATATTTTTAGAAGTCTAAAAAAATAATTGTTTTTGTGAAACAATCTAACATGACACCTCACTGTCAGTAACTTAATCTATTGTTTTATCTCTTTGATGATAACATTTTTTTTGTCTTATAAAAATGTTAAAACAATTTAAATGCGTTAAAAAAGTAAACTAATCATAATAAATTATGTTAGTTTTGTTTAAAATTGTAGTACAAAATAATGTTAATACATTTCAATGAATAAAGCAGCTTAGATAATAACATTCATTATAGAAAATGTAAAAATAAGAACCGGTAGTGTTTGTGACTAAGAACCACTTCATAAGTGGAGTTAAAAAATATTTTTTTAATATTGACTTTAAACATATTAATTTATTGTTTAAAAATAAAACCAACAAAAAAACCTTCCTTAAAATTCCTTATTCTTCTATATTTTATTTATTTTAAGCGCATTGGATGAAAAAAACAATTAAAACACCTTAAAACGATCATGACTCTGATCAGTTAGTTTTGTGAAACGTTTTTCTGAATTGACCATTTAAAGCACCCTCGGTATTGTAAGACATTTTAAGTACGTACTATTCGGGTTTAATGTCTCGTAACGACATCAATTTAGAGTAGACCACCAACACGTGTTAATCAAATGTTATAAAACCGTAACTGAGAGCATAAGATTATACAAACAACCTAATTGTTCAATAAAATAATTATACAAAATATATTACACCTCGTGTTACTATGTGATCTGCGTCGCCGACTGTTTTTATTTTTCTAATGAAAAAATTAAGTATGCGCCGTTGTATTCAGTATTACATTGGTATGATGTTGAAAATGTAAATTAAGTTCAAACGATACACTTAATATTATTTCTCTCCATAACATCAAATTGTTTTACAAACCATTTACATGTTACCTTAAGAAAAATTTTTCTATCTTTAAAGGAAATTTTTTTTTTTAAAAATGTTCAGTATTTCTCCCATAATTTCATAGGTATAAACATTATAGTATAAGAACACCGTGTAATATATTACAAGAGCTCAGTTAAATCGGTTAATATTTTGTGTTTTGACTTTTGTCTTATATTTCCACAATACAATAATGGATTGTAATAATAATTCATTGAAAAATTACATTACACTTAATATACATACATTATTTTTAAAACACGCTCAATAGTTAATAGTGTACCTATTTATTAATATTTTATATCAAACCTCTTAAAACAACATTTTAAGAGCTATAGGTTACGTTATAAGGTGTATTCAACGGTTGTAATAATTTCATCAAAAGACATAACGTGTACAAAGTGTACTCGGTTACCAAAAGTGTAAACTAGGATAAATCGAACGTAGTCAGAACTGTCGGTCAGAGACTTTTATGTCGAATCGTCTCACGACTTCGTTTTCAACTTCACTGTGTAACTGTTTAAGTGTTTCCGCAAGAACGCAAATGAATCAGTTTTAGTATGCTTGTACATCACAGGCAGCAGCTCTCTGTGCGATCCCGGATGATTTTTGGGGTTTGTAAATTTCACTAAAAACGCGGTCTGCTATGAATTATCGCACACGTCACGGCGTTAACCTAATAACGCAGGTCCCCCATAAAGGTTGCAATCACACTCGGACGTAATGAGTTTAGTGAATTTCCAACCGTTCGAACGGGTCTGACTCCTAGACAATGGTACCCAAAATAATTCGGCCCGACACCGAGAATTTTTGTGTCGCAGTAATTGCGTTTATGTAGTAGTGGAAACCGACGGATCTACTGAAAAGGGGCGAGTAGGTACACAATTACACGGCGTGACTCACGGTTTAGTATGCTGTTGCTGCTGACTAATCTTAGAATAATTTTACAACAGCTCTCGGACTGTGGCCCCCACAAATAATAATATGGATACTTATTTAGAGGATACATAGATGTTAATGTATTTTGGTAGTATTATGTCTAGATGAACTCGTTTTGCTAGAAATTAAAATAGTGTGCACTTTTTTTATTCTCCAGAACATAGACTTTTACTTATTAAAGAATCGTTGGTAAAGACGTACTACATTTACAATTTAATACCAGTGAGTTATCTTAATATATTTTTATTATTTCTTAACTCTTACCTTATAAGACCCCAGATCGTCAACAATGCATACTAATGTCGCCTCTCTTCCTACAGGAACCGTTACGTTTGTTATCGGTTCGGCAAATTTGGGCATTTCTGAAACAACCGAAGCAATTATTATTACTATATTGTTACTATAATAAACATAATATTATCATTGTTCTAACGCATATTGCAATATTTAATTATTCCTGCTGTTTAACATATTGTTTACTATTAGGCGGATGACACACAGGGGAAATTTGTTTCGTGAAATTTATTTCATGAAACAATATATTTGTTTCGTTAGTTAAAAACGCGTGTATTTAAATGGCGGCTATAACAACCTGCTAAATATAACATATTTGTAGTAACACTAAATAACATGTACACAATTGTCCTCAGTAACTAAATACATTTATATTTGATTCCTATAAATATAATTTACTTTGCAAAGCACAGTTACAATTTATTTTAATTAACACGTATAGAACTCTCACCACCATCATAAGCATTTATGATCATGCTTTATTTTATAAAGTAAACAGTCTAATTTGTTTGAGAAATAAGTATGTGAATATAAATATTACAATCTGTACACATTTAGCTAAACTTTTTTACTTATTAAATTTTGCTAGTTTAACAATACTAAATCTATAGAATAAACTACACTTAAATTATAAGTTGAACCTATACAAACTATCATTAGTTAAACAATTACTGAAAGTCAATAATTTTAAAAATTATAATATGATTCAGTATTAATATCGATAATCTTTTTTTAGGTCCTATGTAATATTATAAATTGTTTTGTTAATATTTGTATTGTTTTGAACTCTATCCAGATATTTCTGACTTGAGAGTTAAGAATGTTTTTAAACAAAGAAGCATTTACTCTATTCTGAATTTTCTCGTGATTACTGTCCAACGTTTAAGTATTTAAAGTTGTCTACTTTTTAAAATTCCATAACTCCTACATTCCTTCATACGTATCATGAAATCCGTCTTGTCTTCACAAATATTACTATTTGCTAGGTAAAAATATAAAAACGAAGAATTATAACATGTTAATTATATATACAACAATATAAGTATGTAGGTATTTATGTACATGGCTAATGCGTGAAATGCGTTCCATGACGTCTATAAAGTAATTTTCCAAAACAACTTTTTGGTAATTATAGGTTTGATTCAAATATTCAGTAATATTCAACTCAAAATTTGTGTTTTTTTTTAAGTACTTATAATCTCGTTAAATATATTAGAGGACAATTGTAATTGTGTGGAAAGTCGAAATGCTGTGCTCGTTTCCAACAAATATATGCCACACTCAAACTACTTAGTAGTTTGTCGACGACGACCTTGGCTTTCGACTAAAGTATACTTTTATGAAACAACTATATTATGGATACAAGACCACTGTGTGTTAGTTGTAGTACTCTTAGAAGTTGAATTCGTTCGGCAAAAAAAATGTATAACAGCGGCGGTTGTGCAAAACTATAAAAAAAAAAAATTACTTTTATGAAGTGCCCGATAAAAATTAAATAATGGACGATCATTTCGCATAAGAAAGGTATATTCTGCTGTAATTACTATTATAAATAGTTCTTACTTATTATCCGGGTTTTGCGCATTCCATATGTACAAACGGTATCTACGTCACATATGGAGCTAGTGTTTGGTGCTAATATAATATATATATATATATATATTGTCATCATATTATCGTCCATAAATGTAAACGTTTTCTTTTATTGCGCCAACCGTTTCCTATGTAATGCGAGGCGCGACGTTATCCATTCGCCCAGATCGAACGGGCTCGATAGCCTTTTTATTTTTGTTTTAAAAACAACCCCACGCCCCGAACCGTCTATATATACATACAGTAATATATATTATTATTATTATCATCCTAGGATTACGCCGTTGTCGGCAGCTATTCAAGTCACTATCGAAGAAATTCTCGGTTTGCAATAACCGTTGACCTCTTTACACCCGAACTCAGTGATTTTTTTCCCAAATAGACATAAGTGTATATTATATGCTTATACAATCCAACTTTAAGAATTTATGAATAAGAATGCTTTACCAACGAAATTTGAAATATAAATCACTTTTTTTAATTTCCTTAAAATATGTTGTGTCCATACCGGCTACGCAGATAATAGCAACCCTTAGACAATGTATAAATAAATCATAACTAAAAGCTACTTGATACATGACGTACGACAAGTATATCAATAAACGAACAAAGGCGAGAAAGCACACACCGTAAGGGTCGGTTCTGTTAAATGACTAATATTTCCGGAAAATAGGTTATATACATTATATAAATACGTATATATTTATATATGAGTATGTAAACTCTGTTTCTCGGAAAAATCGTTGCTTAAAGTTATAAAATATGCATTACATCACTTTGGAGACACCAATTAGCGATGTTTCCCCTTTTAAAATATTAACACAATGCATTCTTGTTTCTGCTTTTTTTCCCCGTTTTGATGTTTTTGTGCACCTTGTACGACGGTAATTAAAATGACCCTGCAAATCTTTCGCGTAATGTACTTTTGGGGTAGCTACTTGCAATTTATTGCTTAAAATTGTTTCATGGGCAATAAAAAAAGTTGCGTGTAGTAATTTTATTATCAGTAAAATACGAATAATATAGTATTTTTGAGCATTTTTAAATGTTTGCACGTAGAATAATGTTATTGTATAAATATCAAACGTATTAAGAAAAAATGAAACAAAGAAATGTAAAATGTAATGTTATTATTTGTTTATTAGCCTTAAGAAAATGCAAAATAAAAATTAATTTACCCGAAAAAGGGATATATTTATTAAATGAATTCATTAACAGCACCACTTTTATTACAGTTTTAAAATATCAACATGACCGCATAAACCCGCGTTCGGTTTCCATGAATTTATACTACGTTGTAATCTAATGCTATCAGCTTTAATGCTAAACGATATTATGTTCTACGCCGCGAAGGAGTTAAAAAATACTTGTATTAAAAAATCGTACTTTCGTCCGATCATTTACTAAATTTGCCTTGAACAACAAACGAGTCGAAAAAGTAAAGGTAACGCTTATTTAAATAAATTTAGGATGGAAATAAAATTGAATTTTTTCGGCTAAAATTTAACTCAAAAGTTTTATTTTTAAATACTTGACGTCTAGATAATGTTTTTACTGGAAACAAATGTAGGTATGGTTTTTTTGTTCTGTATTAACGTTTGTTTTTTCATAACGACATGTAAACCAAAGCTCAGTGTATTTTTGAGTAAAGTTGTTCAACTCTCATTATACAAAATACGATATTATGTTAAAATACAATACATATTTTTATTATTATTATTATTATTATTATAGGTATATATTCTTAACGTTGTATTTACATTGTTTGTAACACATATATACAACTTGACCGAACCTCCAATTTTCTAATGACTTCCTCGGGTTTGCATTTCGGAATTTCCAATGGGTCTTGAAAATACTATTATGTATTTAAAGAGGGTGCGTGTATGTTAAGCGTGCGTGTAGCACAAAACCTTAAATAATAAGTGCATCGAAGAATTTATTTTATAGGATATATTTGTTTGGTAGGGTTGTAATTCAAAACTATTTTTCATTTAAAATAATTGATTTTTTTTGTTTTATAAAATCAGAAAACGAGCAAAAAGAAATTAGTTAAACAATTACTTTTAAAGATATATACTCCTGATTAGTAATTATAACTATAAAGTAATAAAGAATATATTAGAATAAAGTAACTCTAGTTCGAACTTTAATTTATTATATTGGGTAAATTTAAAACCAGCTTATAACTACAATTGAATGTGTTCTTGTTTATTTACAAATTTACAGTTATATGCAGTTTCTATTGTGTAATAAAATACAAATATTTTATTTCCTAATTAATTATCGAAGCTCGAGATAATTAAATATAAGGTATAATGTAAATATTTTGGAGCTGTTTTTTAAAAGTGAAATAACATATTCCTTGCTGGAATGATTTTAAAAAAAACTTAACTATCTTTATTGATAAAAGATTTTCGAGTAATTAACGAGCATGTTATAAACTATAATCTCAAACTACTTTAATAATAGTTTGTAAATACTTAGTTTAGGTATAGATGGACAAAAATGCTGGTTCTGTGCATTAACAAGTTGAAGTTTGAGCCACATCGTTATGCACTTTTGAAACTATTGACCTTAAGGTCAACGCGTCAATTTTAAGCATGACCATAAAATGTCGTACCCCCGATATTAGCCTTTCTTACCCATCTCTTATCAGCTGTTTTCCCCCACTTCTCCTCTATCTCTGTTATAAATCATCATTATCACAACCGTCGCGTGTCTTACCATGTGATTTTCTCTTATTTCCCCGATTTTCCCTAATCAATCACCATATTATTCTTATTAATATTATATCTCTTAAGAGGGCGTCCCACCGCCCATTTTTAAGGAGTAAAGTATAGGCAATTTTTTACAAAATCTTAATTTAAAGATTAAACTGTGACGTGTAATTATTAGTTTAATAACTAGGACTCTATTTTGGTAGTTAATTTATTTTTTGGACTATCACAGCATCCTTGAAAGCGATTTAAAAATGTTTTTTCATCTCTATATGTTTAAGCAGATTGAAAATAACTCGCTTAATTTAGGTTTTAGAGTAAAAGCACATATTATAAAATTAACAATATTCCAGAGAGCAAGACGGTGCGTTTTTTTTATTATTCCAAGTATAACGCTCAATGCATAGTTTAGAAATAACGACTATTTTAACATTTTTAAATAACTGTAACTTTTCAAAAAATTATTTTTTTTTTTAACGTACCCCTTGGAATATTGTTTTCTTTTAATTTTATAATGGGTGCTTTTACTCTAAAACCTAAATTAAGCGAGTTATTTTCAGTCTGCTTAAACATGTTTTTACCACTGAAAATCACCGGTGGACGCCCTCTTGAAAACAGCCGGTTTCATGTCGGTTTTTCGTGTCGCTTTCGTTTTTTACGTTAAAAATAAACTACAAAATGATAATTAAACCGAGAACCGATTTGCTATTAAAAAAATTCACATACTGCGCAAAATAGAACGACGGCGGCCCACA